TGCTGGAATTCCCAGTTTCCAGACTATGAGAAATAACTTGCTACATCAGCCCCAAGGTACTCAAGTCCTTGTGTTGTCAGTGGTGTTTATCTATCCTATTTATTTATTATTATTTATTCGGTATCCATTTTAGGCTTTCTCTTTTCACTTACTTTGGGGAGTTTTACAGGCTTGGAGTCTTCATTATTTGTCATTTGGTTGCAGGAGACTGAAAATGTCATGGTGTCTTTCTAACTGAAGTGGAAACCTAAGGAGATAAGATCATCAGTGGAAATTTAGCCCAGCTCCATCTCATAGTGAGTTCAGTAAATCTCTGAACCCATTTTGTGGTCATCTTTCCAGTTTAAAAAAATGTACAATTATACTCACTTACCATAAACTGTAGCTTCTTCTTTAGAAGGCGACAGGATACTGACACTGGTACTATGACCTGTACAGTGAGAGCTGTTTTTTGGGGGGTAGGGGGGAGGGGGAGAGGCAAAAGGACAGTCATGAAAACTGCCTTTACCTAGGAAAACAATGCATCCAAAGCAATACTATATCCTTGGAGGGATTTCAGGGACTGGTGACATGATCGAGACTGGAAAGATGCATCAGTGATGATTTTCACCACAACCCAATTCAACAATGCAATTCTCTTGTCTGGCTTATGCAAAGGACAGATGGATCTTAGAGAATGACACTGGATTATAGGAAGTTTAGTCAAAGACAACTCCAATTATAACTGTCATACAACTGTTTTAGCTTAATTAGGACATCCCCTGGTGCCAGGTGTACAATTATTTGTAGCAGGCAGGTGTTTTTCCTCCATACTTACTCATAAGACTCATCAGAAGCAGTCTTTTTTTTTTCAGCTAAAAAAGTCACTAATGTGCCTTCACTGTCCTATATTAGGTGTATATTAACTCTCCAGCTCTATGTCATAATTTAGTTAATAGGGATCTTGATCATTTTCTTTTTCTTCCCAGTAGATGCATTATATTGCTGACATTTTGCTGATTAGACTTAGTAAGAAATAGCAACTCCGCTTGACTTGTTGATGAGGCTGTAGGGTGATGTCAGTATGAATAACAGAATATATTAATGTTACAGACTACATAAAGGGATTTATGTAAGACACAGTATGGAAGGCTGAAAAGTTGAAAATCAGGTACCTTCATCTGTTTGACTTCTGAAGACACCGTGCCTACGTGACCAGCTGGCGGAAAAATGGAAAGGGAAATGGCTAAGTGCATGGGGCAGCCTCACTTACGATAACCTGCTCTTACAAAGAACTAACTCACTCAATGAGATCAGTGTTCATACTTTCCAACTGCCTCATTACCTAACTCTACTGGACCTTCTCAGCCTGAAGGCTCCACTGCCTTGTCACTGCCAAACTGGAGACAAGCTCACAGCACATGAATGCTTGAGGGACATATTCCTACCGCTAAGAAACCAGTTTGAATGGCACTTATTAACTCCTTCACTGATAGAGTGGGATTTATCAATGCAACGGAAACATACATTTACAGTGTCTTGAATACTTGAATGATTGGTCTAATCTGAGTTGAGAAATCTTGTAAAAATGTAAATTCTTGCTTTGGGTAGAAAATCGTCACAGCTTCTTTCAACCCTTAAATCTCCTTAATCATGCATGATAAGCAGATGGATAGAGATAGCTAGCTAGTAGCAAGATAGATAGATATAGAGAGTTGATAGATGGTAGATTAGATAGATCTTTTTTCTAAGTAGGAAATTTGGTCCATGTTATTTTTCATTCAAATATATGACAATTAGAAATTAAACTTTTCTCTACATGCCAGGCACAGTCTTTTCGACACCCTACTTGTTCTGCCTGACAACTTTTGCAAAGATAATTTTAAAATTAAGGAAAAATGCCCCACATTTACGGTTTTTTTTTATATTAAGAGGAAGAGTTTTCTCACAGGTTAATTTAAATTTGGTCTGCTAGTGACTGGAAGCAATTGCCTGGATAATGGCTTGCTGCCTTGATGTTAAAATTAGAACAAGGCCAAGTCTAGTGAATAGAAGTCCACACAAAGAATCACTATTTTTGTTCCTTCCTCTTGTACCCAGCCAAAAAGAAATAGGGGGAACTGGCAAACTAACAGAACCAACTATTACTGCCATCTTTCACTTCAGCATAAACTAACATATGTGTTTCATGAAAAGAGATAAAGGCACAGGTTTTTTTTATTATTATTTCTATCTGTAAAGGACTTAGCTCCAGTAAGTACCATATATTCAAAATTAATTGAAAAGAAGATTTTAATGACTTGTAATATGAGGAAAATGTATTTTTAACAAATATTTTCAGATATTTTAATATAATAACTTGCTTATGACCCTGGGTCATGTGGATACCTTCCTTACAGAAATATTGATTTTTAAAAATTAATTTTGAAGTAGAAGACAAAGCAGTCTACCAAAATTCTTCTCTTCTATCCTTAAACAGAACCAGGTTTATCACTCTGATGAAGACTAATCAAAACAGGAATTCTTTAGGTTCTATTTTTTTCTTCCCAGAAGGTAGAATTATCCAATTGAAGATGTTTCTTTAAAAACAAAAGACAGGTCATCATTTTCTAAGCTGTGTGTCTTGTTGGACCAAAGCATGAAATACCAGATGTTTGTAATAAAATAATCAAAGTACTACACTGAGTCACAGAAATTTTTTAAATATTGATACAACCTTATTCGGGTCTTTGTATGACAAAGAAGCTTCTGTTTTCATTGTTAACATGAAATGCTTAAAAAGGTTATATTTCTTAACACATTTCTAATAAGAAATTTCAGCACTGTATGTTTAAACACAAACAGAAAACATACACTTGTTATTTTTTCCCCGTTAAGACCATTTTAGACTCTAGTACAATACAGAATAAAAGTCTTTGTAAAAATAAATTAACTCTTAATTTTTCTTTGTTTAGCTCTTAAGATTACAGTTATTTTGTATGTTGTATTTAATACATAGCAGTAACTATATGCCATTTTCATAGCTTTTGATAAGAGGTATTTTACATTTTAGTGAGTTTTTCTTAAATGTTTACATTGGACTATCATTTGCTAATACCTTCTCACTTTTACACAGCTACCTTTGCACCTTCAATGATGAATAGGATTGCAGTACAAGTTGTGAGGTGAAATCTGCAGAAGACCCGACAGCATGTGGCTGGGGACTGAGAAATGATGATGCATTAAGGTCAGACCCCAGAGTCCAGCTTACTTGGAATCAAATCTAAGTGTTGTATGACTTGAGCAGTTATGTAACTGGTTTAGACTTTGGTTTTGTAGTCTTCATCTGTAAAAGGAGTGTTAGAAATTTATGTGAATGTACACATACACAAATATACATATACATATGTGTCAAATATTCATTTATGGTGTATGTGAATATATACACACACATATATATACACACACATATACATGTACATGTACACTTCAGAAAAGATTGTGCTACTTAAACATTAACTATCAATATCAGCTCAGTACCTGAAATTAAATGATATGATGGTTCTTTCTTTTCCTCAGAAGAATAAAGGTTGCAACAAAATTTCACCAGTAAGAGACTCAATAAACCTAAAATGAGACTCCCTGAAGCAAAGTGCTGACTTTGTAGGCAGTTTCCTGCACTCCTAACTGGCTCTTTGTAGAACTGGCCTGGGACTGTTAATGAGATTTTGTTTTAGAGATGATGGATTGATATTTCAGGGGAAGATTAAGGGAGCCCTTATAACCAGTGCCTCTCAGAGTCCAGTCAATTTCTAAAATGACAGCTTTGCATGTAAATATAATCTCATGTAAATAAGAATGTTAAAATTTGAGAGAGAGAGAGAAAGAGAGAGAGAGAGAGAGACGCTGATATGGGGCTTCAACTCAGTCTCTTACTCTGGCTTGGTTTTTACCCTCATGGCTAATGCTCTACCACTTGAACCATACCTTCACCTCCAGCTTTTAGCTGGTTAATTGGCGATAAAAGTCTCTTGGTTTGTCTCTGGCTGTGTTTGACTCTTGATCATCAGATCTCAGCATCCTTAGTAGTTATAGACATGAGACACCAGCATGTGGCTGGACAGTTCTGAGTGGTACCTGCTAAATCAGGAGAAATGCCAGATAGAGTGATAGAGCTGAATGAAGGAAAACGTTGACCTTTCCTTTAAATGGGACTAACAGTAAAAACAAAATGGCATGCTTTGTTACTTCTTGGCAGACTTCTGGCCCTGAGAATGCTGGTCAAGGTAGTTTCTCTGACTATGAACAGGATGTGGAAGGTAAGAGTTCAAACCTGCATATTTAATAAGTTTCACATAAATCTGGGATCTGGTGAAGCATAAAGAACTTTTCTTGAGAGTCTCAGCAAGCATTTGTCTTACTTTTACCTTTCCACTCAAAGTGTGCATTGGCTAAAATAACCAGTTTGACATGATCCATTTCAAATAGGGATTATAATGTACCATTATGTATAAGTTACCTCACAACTTCATTAAGTGGCTTCAAATAAGACAACATTCAGAGAACAATGTAAGATTCAAATAAATCTAAGTACATATTCCTTTTATTTCTTTTTTTTTTGTCAGTTGTGGGGCTTGAACTCTGGACCTGAGCACTATCCCTCAGCTCTTCAGCTCAAGGCGAGCGCTCTACCACTTGAGCTACAGCACCACTTCTGGTCTTCTGGTGGTTTATTGGAGATAAGAGTTTCACGGACTTTGAGCCAGGCTGGTTTTGAACCACGATCCTCAGATCTCAGCCTCCTGAGTAGCTAGGATTACAGGAGTGAGCCACTGGCGCCAGGCTATTTCTTTTATTTCTATAGCAAATAGATTTTTGTTTGTTTTTGTCAATTGTGGGGCTTGAACCCAGGGCCTGTGTAATGTCCCTGAGCTCTTTCTTGCTCATTATACCACTTTGAGCCGCAGCACCACTTCTGTTTTTTGAGTGGTTAATTGGAAATAAGAGTCTCACAGGGGCTTTTTTTTGCCTGGGCTGGCTTTGAACCTCAATCCTCAGATCTCAGCCTCCTTAGTTACTAGGATTACAGGAATAAGCCACTGACATCTGGTGCAAACAGTTTTTGGAAACAGAAAAACATCTTATTTGACAGCAAAAGGGAGTAAATGGTTTGAATAAAGACCTAATCACTAATTAATCCACATGGAAAGTTTTCCTAATTTTCTTTGTAAGGAAAGCCGAGAAGGTATTAGTCATCTTAACCTGAGCCATACTAATCCTACTTGCTTTTCTAAATATAATAAAAACAGCAGACAGTCTCAAAGTACATTATTAATTAGACATGATTAAAAGTTAGTTCCATTATCTCATTTACCTTTGGAGTTTCCAGACATTAATAATCACCAAAAAGTTCTCACTGATTTATAATATGTCTTATCACATCATGACCCTAAAACTCTGGGCCTCAAAGAACAAGGCATAAATATGCTTTAGATGCCTATCTGTAATCACAGAAGAAAACAATTAGGAGTCTCCAGGTTAATTTCATTCCATTCCAAGTTACTGGTACTGTTTTTCCTATGTCCAAAGCTCCATGTAGAGAGAGTTCTTAGAATTAAAACACCCTTGAAGATGTATACAATTAGGATTCACCTCATTGGAGTGAGCCTCCAGGTTCATTTCATTCCATTCCAAGTTACTGGTACTGTTTTTCCTATGTCCAAAGCTCCATGTAGAGAGAGTTCTTAGAATTAAAACACTCTTGAAGATGTATAGCTTAGCTTGATCCTGGGACATCTAGGGTAAACATTTTATGGTATTGCACAGTAACAAAAGTTTACAGCCATAGATAACACAGGATCTGATCTGCAGGAACACACTTGGGGTTTAAGGCTGACATCGGAAAGCAACCATTTCTGGAACAGTTGTCAATTATCTTTACACAGTGTCACCTGGTAGAGTATTGAAAAAGGATATCTCTTTCAACAGTGTAATCATAGGAGGTTTGTTCATTTATTTCATATTTGCCAGTTTTTTTTCACTTGTGTGTTAGGCAGAGGCACTTTAGGAGCTTCGAACTGCCCTTAATAACAGCAGTTCATAAATATAAGAAGTGGTAAATGTGTCCAAGCATTAAAATGAAATTAATTAAAAAAAAAGCAACTCATAAGTTAAAAAAGCCACTGAATCTTGTAAAAAAATCACTGCTCTCTGATTTGAAGAACTATATAAAAATTAATTAAAGAACTTAAATAAAAATTAGCTATCATCCACTTATGTCCTGTAGTATCATAGATACTACAGCTTTCCCACATTAAGGTCTAATGGTTTTGCTGTTAGAGCTTGTAAAGCTTGTACAATTCCTGATGAATAAAATACTTCAGTTATGTTCGAGCACTGTTTCAAAGTACTTTTTTTTTTCTACCTACAGGCTCCAAAGAGTCAGGAGAGGAAAAAGAAAAAGTCAATGAAACATATCAGAAGTGTTTAGCAAAGTGTATTAAAAAAAAACACGCAAAGATTTTAAACGACATGCACTCCGTGTCCGACGTGTGAAAATGGCCTATCTTCACTCCTGCGATTCCGTGGACTTTTCCTCTCCTTCCTTCTCGCCCTTTGGTCTCATTTAGCTGCAACATAGTGCAGCTGCCACAACACGTTGGAGAGGAGGTCCTGGTACAGGCTAAGGAAAATCCAACCGGGTAAATACATCAGGGTGATGAGGCCCATGAAATTGAGTGGATAGTGCGAGTAATCCCAGGAACAAGCCCCCCAGGCGCGAAGCCCCAGCCCCCAGGTCAGCTCCCACACGTAGATGACAACCACGTAGAGGGGCACCCGCCTCCACGCGCCCCACCCGCGGCGGTAGTGCAGGTGGAAGTAGAGCTTCTCCACCACGAAGCTGCAGCTGCCGTACATCAAGAAGGACCAGAGCGACGTGTGGCCGCTGGTGGTGACCCTGCCCCCCGGGCCCAGCACGTTGAAGAAGAAAGTGAAGAAGATCTCATCCAGGAAACCATGCATCCCGAAGAAAAGGAAGCGCGGCAGGTCGGGCAGGCCCTGGCCCGGGGCTCCCCCGGGGCCGCCGGGACCCCGCGGACGTCGTCTCCCGCTGTCACTGGGCGGCGGCGGCCGGGGTCGCCGGTACCTCCGGTATCGCAGGCGCAGGAACCGCTTCAGGAAGACTTGGCAGTGGTAGAGCGCCAGCGCGTAGTGCAGGGCCAGCGCCAGCGCCAGGTCCAGCGGCCCCGGCTCCCCGCCGCCTCCCGGGCCCAGCAGCGGCGCCTGGCCCGCCAGGGTCTGCAGCCCCACGTGGGCCGAGGGGAAGAGCAGGAAATCGAAGACGCCGGCGCTGGGGCAGCGCGGCCGCTGCAGGTAGAGCCGCTCGAGCGCCAGGTGCGTGAGCGAGTGCAGCAGGCAGCGGTAGGGCGAGGAGAAGCCGAGCATCCGCGGGTCCGGGCTGCGCGCGAAGCCCCGCGCCCAGGACACCAGCACGTCCAGGGCGACGCCGTGCATCCCGTAGAAGTAGAGGCGCATCCAGGCGGGCAGCGCCGTGCCCTCGCCCCGAGCTTCAGCGGTGGACAGCGGCTCCTCCGGGCACCGGGTGGCCGCCGCCGCCGGGCTGCCC